ATCTCTTCACCATAAGACCAAAGGTTTGAATACCGCTCAACAAGTATGCCTTCAATTAGCTCAATGACATGTTTCTTTGCTCTCCTACACTGTCCCATACTCACATCTATTTCAAAAGTTTGTTTCACCTCTTCCTTAAGCATCCTAACACTCTTTTTTTTTCTTATTTAAGAACTAAGTTGTAAAGTGGCTGCCAATCCAAGCATAGCTAACAATTGATCCCAATTTGAAATTTCTTGCACAATTGTGCTCATCTATGAGTGACTTAATCTGGAAAGATTGTTCTTCACTCATCCATGAGGCCCAAAGTCTAAACTTACACTGCCCAGAACAACATTTCACTAAAAGTCTCCTACTATCATTTTTCTTGTAGCACAACTGATAGCCATTAGCAACAACATAATTACAAACATATGTTTTAACTGTTTTGGACTTTCAAATCTCATACCTAGGACAGGTTTTTGTTTTTTCCAGTTAACATTCTCATTATAAGTTGTTACTTCCTCAACAATTGTGTCATTGTCGTCCATACGAAAATAACCGTCCTCATGAGGAGGACTTGATGGGATTGACTGCACCTTGGGGAATAACTTGCTCAAAAAAACATCATTTATGGTCTTATTCATAGGAGTGGAATCAACATGTCCAAGGTCGTCATGTACATTACCTTGCAAGTCATCAATGTCGTTCTGAAAATCTCCCATGCTATGTAACTCCTCATTGTTCCCCCTACACCCGACTGCTTGTCTTCAAGACTGCATACTTCCGCTTGGTCATCCACTATCCATTGATGGACATTGACACCAAGATGATCCATGTATATTTGGATTACACATCCGCTGTCGTACCCTACTTGAATAAAATCCTGGTAGTCTTTCTCGATGGCTATTATCCTCAATCCATCATGAAAATTCTATATCGGGCATGCAAAAGTACACATTCACACATTCCTCGTTTGCGAATCTTTTAATACACAGTAGAAATTCCTTCAAGTCCATTCCTGCAAAATCGACATCTTCAAAGTGTTGCTCTGCTCCATCTGAGTAACTTATTGCGGGGTACCTAGTAAAAAAGTAAGCAAAATGAAGATCGACCTTCATATACACTGCCATAGCAGCGATTTGGAGAGAAACAGTAAAAGAAGAAGAAAGGGGAAGAAGATACCGACGAGTGAATATGTCATTTACAAAAGGGTTAAGTAGGTCAAAAGGTCATTTATTGATGTGGCAACAGAAATAGCGAGGTGGCAATAGTTTAAATGACGTGTGTCTTCTTACCTCCTGACTAGGATGGGTTTAAACCGGCCGACCCCTTCGCTTTCTATAGAATGGCTTTAACAATCGGTAAAACTACACTTCATACCCCTTCAATGCCAAAAAAAAAAAAACGAAAGGGACCATTTAAACCAAAAGGTTAAACATCATAGGGCTACAGTGACATTTACCCAACAAAAAATCCTCTAATTACGGACGAAAACACTTAATTTGTAACTTTTCTAACATTCATCTAAAATTCAAGTTAGATAATCCCATATAAGTATTTGTATAGGTTATACGCTAATTTTCTTTGTACATTCTTATTTAAAGTTAGAGGAAATCACAATGAGGAGAGCTCATCTGCAATTATACACGTGTCTAATGCAGATGATTATGCATTAATGGTAGAAATCCTAGATGAGTTAGAAGAAATCTCAAATGAGTTAGAGAAAATCCTATATGAGTTAGAGGAAATCGCTAATGTTATAGGAAATCCCATAGTAAGTTATACGATGTCCTAATAGAGTTAAAGGAAATTGCAAATGATTTCCTCTAACTGATATGAGATTAGAACTAGATGGTTTCATAAACATTAAAATTAGTTACATAAACATTATTGAGGTAGAAGATTTTTGCTCGACTCTCAACTAGAAATATAAAAACAAGGATAATTTTTTTCAACCTTAAATACTATGGGGTTAATGGGCTCGACCTATGAAGAAATCGCAACTCATAAACTGAAATCTCAACCCAATAAGGGTTATTAGTGGCTAATTTGACAATTTCTTAATATTTTGGCTATTTTTTTTAAATGTTTAGAAAATTAAGCTAAATTGTCTTTTTTCTTTATATACTAGGTGTGAGGCCCGTGTATTACACGGGTTGATTTAAAAAAAGATTAAACATTAAAGTGTAACAGAAAATATTTTAATGTATTACTTTTAAATAAGAAAGGAAGAAATGTATTTCTTGCAATTTAATATAATACATATGATATTTAATACTTTACATATATAAGTATATGATTTTAATTTTAAAAATTGAAACAAACCAAAAATTGACAAGTCGATAATATTTATTTCAAAAATACCACAAAATAACAAGTGTCAAAACTCATGAGAGATTGACATGTGGCAAAAAAACCTTCATTTATTAAGAAAAATTACTTGCGAGTAAATGCACCAAAATCATAAAATCATGTAATTGCATTTAAAGTCCATAATTCATAATTAAGTCGACCAATTTATATGTGTAGTCTTGGTCTTTTCGGACATCAAGGCAAACTAGATAACTCATAATTACATGTTTAATGTTTTTCTTATGGCATACGAATAGAGCGTTTGATAAGAGTAACAATTCTCTTAGGCTGTTAGGTGTGGGAAACGACCACATGCGTTTTTAGAAGGAAACAACGTTTTTAGGATGTTGTGGTGGTAACGGGAAGCAACAGGTAGGCTTATAACGCACAAAAACGGTGAAGGGGGTGGTGTTTGTGCCGTCATAACGCACAAAAACGCCCCAACAGACGTTACACATACCTAACAGTCTTACAAATTACTAGTTTCAAATACGAGGTAAAGTAATTATAATATGAAATCAATATATTTAGAAAATATATAAACACTTTATGCTAAAGATCTAAAGTTATGAAAAAGACTCAATTCCTTATTGTTGAAATTGATGAAGAGTGATGACATCATGATTTTAGTAACATGTTTCATTCATTGACCCTATATCTATACATGTTTTTAGTGACTTCCTCTACGAATCATATGGACACACAGAGACTATTGAATTTTATAAAACTTCATACTCTAAGTATATTATTATATATATATTAAAGTTGTGGAAGAAAGGAATAGTGAAGTTGGCATACTTTGTCCAGGTTTGGTCCCTTATTTATATATCCGGTCTCTGTACTTCTTTAATTAATTTATTCATGTCCTTTTGTTTGTGTTCCATTCAACTTTCCATTTTTTTGGCAGAATTGGTCCCTGTATTATTGTTGGAAGTTAGGAATACTAAATTTGGATGTTTTTTTGGCAATTTTGCTCATTATTCTTTACCCATTTTGACACTTTTGGTCCTTGCAATCAATATTTTTACACTTTTTTGGAACCTTTTAATATTTAAAGTTTGGCCACAAAACTTTAACGGTTTGACAACTTTGATCTATTTTCTAAAAAGTTGGTAATTCCTATCCCTTTAATTCTGTAGCCATTTTCACACTTCTGGTCCTTGCAGTCAAAACTTTTACATTTTTTGTCCGGGGCAAAGCCCGGACTTTTCATCCTTGCACTTTTTATGTTTGTCATATTTATCAATTCGGAAACAACATTGAAAGCTTCTGGCCGCCGCGTAGCGGGGTAACCTTTCTAGTTTGGATTAAAACAATATTAAGATAAACAAACCTTTTAAATCCTTATATTGTAAAAATTTGGTCCGAGGAGTTTTTATTTTAAGAAAAAAAAACGATATCATATCGGTCATTAAAGAAAGCAAGATATTATTTGATTTGATTTATTAGTATTACCGACTCTTAGACATCAAGTCACTTGGACTTCAATTATACCATACTTAAATCTAACACTTTATATGAAAAAACGTCAATTTTTGGAATAAATTAATCATCACCTTTTGAATTATGTCCTAAGTAAATTTGTCATTTTATATTGGAAAAGTAATATAATTTTCATATGCAAATCTAAGTAACATTTGTTGTACAGTATAATTTAATGAAAATAAGTGTTTGTTGAAACTATTAACTTTCATATGATAAGAAAAAATCAAGAAAAATAAGGAATTAAGTCAAAGTTACAATTTTCAAATTGTGCTCATTAAATGGGTGTTTGGCATTATTTTTTTTTAGTAAAAATGTTTATTAATTTAGCTGGTGTCAAAAACGATATTTAAAAAAACATGTGCGAATCAGTTTATACAATATTAAAACATAACAAACTAATAAGTTATTTTTCAGTGCGAATCAGTTTATACATTAACTTGATTTAAAAAAAAAACTTTGATTTTTTTTAATTTTTTTTACCTTTTCTGTTAATAATATTTTCAGTTTCGGTTTCATTTTTTTTAACGTGTATAATTTTTTACGAAATTTGTAGACATCGTTTGCAGTACTTTCTTAATTTTTTTTATTATTATTTTTTTTACATTTTTTAAAATTAGTTTTTTTCTAGAATAAAGTTGTTAGCTTCTTTTATATTTTTGTAAGTTTTTTTTAAATAGTTTTATATTTTTGTTTTTTATATGTTTTTTTTAGTACTCTTTCAATGTTTTAATACTAGAATTATTAAAATTTCGGTGTTGAGAACTATTTTCAGTTTATAAAATTAGTTTATTTAAATTTCAGTTTACTGCAGCAGTCTGCAGATGTTAAAAAACAAACATGCTTCTTACTATGGACTGCAGCCGTTTGTTCCACCTCTTCTGCTACAGAAGATTGCAAAGATGGTCTGCAGACTTTATGAATTTTCGCTTCGAAAAAACAAACAACACCTTAATAAAGATGTAGAAAATATTTTTGTCAAATGATAGTTTGATGCATTTAATATGCAATTAAATAACAAAATAAAAAAATAACTTATTCAGTTATATAACAATAAAAACAGTAAAATGTTCGATATATAAAAGAAATGTTGGAATGAATAGATAAAGGTTCAAAACAAAAACACTCTTCCACACACTTTCTCCACCTCTGTTCCCATTTTATGATCTTCTTCCTCACCCACTATGGTTCGAGGAGATTCAGAGGTTGAAGCCATGTACGAACCTCACACTCACAGTCACAGCCACCATAGATCCAAACGGGGGAACGCTAATCTAGCTTCATGCATCGTAGCAACCATTTTCTTGCTCCTCATCGCCTTTGGAGTAGCCATCGTCTACTTCCTCGTCTTCAAGCCAAAGAACCCCAAGATCGCCGTCGACTCCGTTCAGTTCCCGACGTTTTCGATCTCCAACGGCACCGTCAATTTCACCTTCTTCCAGTTCGTCTCCGTCACAAACCCCAACCGTGACGCCTTCACTCACTACGACAGCTCACTTCAGCTTGCCTACTCGAATGCACCTGTCGGATTCATTTTCATCCCCGCCGGGAAAATCGATGGCGGTCATACACAACACATGTCGGCAAAATTCGCCGTTGAGTCTTTTCCTATTCCCGCGAGACCGCCGCCGGTGACAGCGGAGGCGATTGGTGGTGGATCGGAATTGGGAATGGAAGGAGCGACAATGGAGATCGAGACAAGGATGAAGTTGGTTGGTAGGGTTAGGGTTTTGAAGATTTTCACTCACAGAGTTGAAAGCGGGGTGAATTGTGGAGTAGTGATTGAGGTAAGAAGTGGATCTGTGCTTGGGCTTCATTGCTAGCTTAGCGTTGATTTCTGGTTGATTGATTCCTGTCTTTTGTGTTGATTCGGAATTAATTCCAATCCCTAATTGTATATAATGATTAAGAATCTGCTTTTAATGCCACTCAATCAATCAAAAAGTGTTGTTTCTGTGCATAAATCGAACCAAAATTCGATTGATTAAGACAAAATTACAGAAAAGTTGTTTATTCAGCTTCAGCTACAAGATCTGTGCATATATCAATTAGTCCATGTAGGAAGATCCACGTTTTAAATTGGAGTTCATGAAGAAGATTTGAATCCAAGTCAAATTGCAACCATTTTTGGAATTTTAGATGCGTTTTTTCTTCCCTACCAGGCTTGGGCCGGTTTCCTTAAAAAGAAGCAACAAGCTTTATCCGACTCGTTTTGAACTTTTGAATATGATTCTTCGTGAACTTCCAATTGAAACAGATGAATGTATGATTATGATACCAAGTTTACTGGGGTTTTCCAGATATCTTGATTTGAAACCTCTATATATATATATATATATATATATATATATATATATATATATATATATATATATATATATATATATATATATATTAAAAGTCCCCAAATTTGGTAGGGAAACCTAGTCATATTATGAAATTCATCAACTACTATGGTTTCATGATGAAACCGAAAAAATCATTCTGTACCAACACAAGGACTCAACAAAGAAACACACAAGTAAAAAATTGAAATTATTGAAGCACACTCCAAATCGAGTTGCTTCTTCTTCATCACTTTGGGGAAAGTTTTTTCCTTTTTCTTTTTGTTGTCGATGACAATGATACAAAGAAATATCATCAGTGGGGTTTTTGTGGGTTCACCGGTGGTGGGGTTGTTGTTGGTAGATTTTGAGGGAAGGAAGTGGGGATAAAACATCCGTGAGTAGGGAAGGGAGAGGTTGTGGCGTTGTCAATCATCATCAATGGAGTAGAATCATCATCAATGGAGTAGGCCAATGAGAAGTATGGCGGGGTAGGGATGGGGTGGTCATTCAGTTGAGTTTAAATGTTAGGGACATGAACCATAACTTAAGTTACATCCCATCCCAAAACCCACCCTACCCCTATCATTTAAACTCAATTGAATGACCACCTACCTCTCGATCGTATGGCCATACTAACAATGTCATCCCCAGTATATTTAGACACTACAAACAAAACAATATTTAATGGCACATACTTATGTATGCCCGTACTAGAGAACACTATGACAATATAAGAGAACAATACGACAATACTAAATTTTATCCGATGAATGGTATAACGGCCATACGAGACATTTTCTAAATCATATCATAAGGTGAAATGACAATACCGTGATTCTTCAAGCCATACGAGCCATGTTTTGGAAAATTTGTTATAGCCTTCATTAGATTATATGTAAGCTTTATATTCGATTGTGATGACTTATAACTATATGAGTGATCAAAACCTTTATTTTGACATTGTACTTATGTATTTTACTATTATGTACATAACTTGTTTGATATACAAAATGTATTTATTTGATGCGTTCATTAAATGTGTTGAGAAAGAATTTTGAAATGGGGAAAATTATTTGATTTTCTAACGAGTATAAATTATGATTATGTACATCTATTTATTTGGTGGGAAGTTAGACTTATGTTTTGCAATAATAGTGGAATATCTTTTGCAATGTTATCTCCATGTTTTGATAATTTTTTGAATTTTTAGAAAGACGGGGTTAAAACCTTTTATACATATTTGTTTGTTTCTTTTTGTCAAATCCCGATATATCTTACTAGGCATTTCATGCTTAACCAACTATTTTAACATGTTCTTACGTTAGTTAGTAGATGATTTAGTAGCTTTGAAGATGGAAGAGCTTGAGGAAATTTACAAGACTTTGGTTATGTTTGAAATAGTTAGACAATGTTATTATACCTTGTTTTTTTTATATTGATTGTGATGTCCTTGTATATTCTTTTGACAAATTATTTATTGTTATAATATTTGACGTTTTCAAGATGTTTTCCCCACAAATTATTTATTAATTGGTTTTCAAACCATTTTAAAAAATATTTCAAATTGTCCGTACAATGGGAGTATCATTGTGGTACTAGATTAGTTTCCTAAGGACCATGATGTTTATCGAGGTTGTAACCGATTACTTCACAAATTAAACGACTAAGCTCTTATTTAAGCACATGGTAAAGTATTGGGAAGTATACCAAGTGATAATAAGCAATATAGATCCGCTATTCACATGATGGTTTCAGATAGAGTTGTTTATACAAAGTTATTCAAGCAATTATGGATGATTTTGTCCCTGCGATTTTCCACCCTAAACAGACGACCAAACGGAAAGGGTACATTCTTTACTTGATCTATATTAGCGGAACTATGTCAGTGCCAACCAAATAAATTAGGCTAAACTTCTCGATGTGGCATACTTTTCATACAATATGCAAAGCAGTGAAGACCCTTAACCCCAAATATTTTGGTTACGAGATATGAGGATACTAGCTACTAGTCCAGTTTATAGTCGGTAAAAGAATGACACGAGCAAATGAACATTACCCAACTTCATATAGATAAAATAATCAACAAGATGAAGGTATCGGTGGATGAGAAAAGAATATATGTAGTCATGTAGAGACTAGAGTTCAATGTTTGGGGTTATCAGTTATGTGATGATGAAACTTTTTATTACATCGATTCAGTTCATTGTTAATGAGACTTTCTATTACATCGATTCAGTTCATTGTTGAAGGTACACGATTAACAATACGAATGTCCCTATCATTTTGTCTTACATGACAAGTAGTAAAGTTCATTATAATCCTTCTTTGAGTTTTTACTTCTTATAAAAATGGTAACAGTGCCATTTGGACGGCCTCAAACACTACGCTCTCATCGTGGGATCGACTTCCACTTATACGGGACAAGGAAAGACAACGTTCCTATATTCTTCCACAATAAAATTCCAACAAAGAATGTATCATGAAGTCCTACTTCAAATCCTTACCAAACAAAATTAATCCGGTTTTCAAAGTGTCCTTAAGTCGTATCACGAAGATATGAAAGACCGAAACGATGCATGTCCAAGGCACCAAAAACAGCGGCAATAACCTCTTTTTATTGAGAGATTGAGGAACCACCAAAACTCATAGCGCCTTGAGGAATACTTGATTAAGAGGCGGAATTTGACTAAAACTAAAACAAGGTGGGAGCCGCAAGAATCAATGTGACAGTTTGTGGACAAGATCAAGAAGTAAAAAAGATAAAGGCACGACAAGGATGTCGGCATGTTGCGAGCTTAGGTGAGGAGATGCCTTGGGATTTCTCTCACCTACTTCTAGAAGGATAATGATTAATGAATAGCCAATATTATACAAACATGACCATTGAGTTTCTTGTTTTTTTTCATGTTCTACAAAGTCCTCATGTATAAGTTGAGTCTCCCCTTTATTTGTAAATCACCTTAGCATATGACACAAACTTTCGTTTCTAGGCGTTCTCCGATGGAAGTAGTCTCTTTAGCATCATCAAATGAATGTATTATGGTTATTGATTGCCTGCATCCAATCTTCTTACCCCATGACCTTATGGGAATTAGATATTTTGTTGTTGCTTACACATTGCTAAAAGTCTCTCAAAGGTACTAAAAACATTCACTTAAAATTCCCTTGTAGCCTCCTTTACTTGCAATATATGTATGTGATCCAATTTAAGCCAAGTTAGTTAAGTACCATGGGTCATACCTTAAATCCACGATAATATTCGAAACTCATAACATAAATTAAAGCATTTCGTAATAACACAAGAACTCAACATAATAACACAACAAATAAAATATAAAAAAAAAAAACTAAATCAAAACCTCATAAAGACCCAAAAAAATCATCCTGCCAGTAGTTGCATGCGACAAACTCTCACAACCTCTCTTATACTAAACTCGTAACACAAACTCATAAACCCTATTATAATGAAACAAAATCAAACCAAAAAAAAAAACCTTTCTAACTACATAGGTTCGGAATACATGTGCCACTATCAGGATTCAAAGGTTCTTTCCAAATCCGACCAGTAACTCTCAACTTGAGCTCTTTCCGATCACCACCAGAGAAGAAAAGAGCCATATTCCGCTGTATTATGAGTCCATCATGGCTGTCCCTAACTTTCCGGTGACCATCTCTAATGCTTCGTGGGGTTCCCTCCCAAACCAGTTTCCGGCCATTCCCTCCCACCTCCAAACTGTAACTGTAATTCCGGGCATCATTTTCATCTCCCATGAACCTCACAAACGCCATGTAAACCGGAGCCATGCTCAGCTGAAACGCTTCAAAATGGAGACAAAAATACTGCCCAAAACAATTGAAAACCTACATAACATCAAAAAAAGACAATCATGAGCACGACCAACAACTCTAAACGCCATGAAAAACGGTAGTTTTGAAGTCAAGAATACATAGTTAGATACTAACTGTTAGCATCCACGTGGCATTGTCAACTTCGCGAGGATTGGACTTGACATATCGATGATTGAAAGTGCATCCTGAGTGCATGTCGACTTTATGATCATCTCTTAAATGAGCGACTAAATACTTGATTTCCCCAACAACCGAACACTCTGATCCGGCATAAGGGCAGCTATATGGCCTGAAATTGCATAAAGCTTCATGCTTTAGCTTACTGTAGTAAGGAAAGATTCCATGGCAACCGAGTGAGCAGTATTTGCATGGCAATTCGAGGGATTCTGCAACTTTTTCCAAAGCTAGACATCTTATATCACCGAGTTCTTGTCTGCAAGTCGGACACCTGTTGTTCACAAGTGTTTTACAAGTGGAACAAAGCGTGTGACCATTGTGACACTGCACAAATTTAGATCAATCTTGAAATTAAATAAAATTATGTCTGACGAACTATTGAAGTCAATCATTCTATTTTCCAACTTCAAGATTTCCATGAATTCAAAACTTATTAAGGAAATTTCGGTAATGAGATAATGGTCTGTAAC